CAGGAGGTCAGCATGGCATGCTGGTGAAGAGTGGATCCTGGGAACAGAGAGATCTTCTGCTTGTTCAACTTGAGAGCAAGTTGCATAAATGATCTATCTGCGCTCAATTTCCACATTTGTGAACGGGCACAATAATAGTATCTTATTTAGTGCATAAAGTTGGTTGAGGAATAAATGAGTAGTATATTCAACGCCTAACTAGGGTGGCCTCAGAATATAATCACGAATGTTCAACAAATGTCGCTAGTATTGATGTTACTAAGTCTTTCATGGTTCGTCCAATGACTTTTGCATTAAAGAATATGACTCTGGCATGTGCACAGCACTGTTCATTCATTTAAGAACTTTTACAGAGTGTCGTGACTTCTTGAAAGTACTACGTGCTCATCCTCGCGTTTGATTGTTCAACAGGGTAAAAGCAGTCAGTAGGCCCCACATTGGTCAAAAGCTCCCCAAAGTCTTGAGTTCCAGGTTCCGCAACTCAGATGGAGGCAACAGCTACACCCTGTATGCTTCTGGTTTCAGCTCTCATACTGCTGTCAACAAGTGTCTTTTAGTCTATCTAGTGCCTTTTTTGCATGTTTTCTGCTGTTTGTTGGTGAATTCGATGTTTAAAACGACTCGCAAGCTTGTGCCGAAGTGCTGTGATATCTTTCTTCCTGCTTTTGTGCCTTTTCTTAACTTTCCTTTTTTCTTTCAAGGAATACACACTTTACCTGTGACCTCTATTTGCTCCCATTCTAAGTAATCAGATACTCCCAGCAGAGTACCCTCCCCTGAGGTGAGTTGTAATATTGTTCTTTTGTATACTTTAATTCCCCCATTTCAAGGCACAAAGCAACAAGGCCACCATACCACAGCTCCCTTTCTGCCTTCCAATGATTCTACAATGGAGAGAGAAGTGGGGTTCAGAGGGGACTGGGAGAGAGAGGCCAGCCTCTTTAGAGAGAAGATGGGAGGGGTGTGAAGAAGGGTTAAATACTCTTCTGGACCCTAAAAGAAGAGAGTGCTTCTGCCAAACCTGTTTCCCCGACACCTCCAATCAGTACCTGGAAGAATGGGGCAGGGAGACCAAGGAAAGGACTCTAGCCAGCAGGGTTCCCAGTCTCAGGCAAAGATTCCTTTGCAGGCAAGTGGCCAAAGAAGCATCCAGAGCCACAGGGCAAGCAGGGACGTAGTGGACCCAGATGAATGGGGACTCTGTGGCGGGCAGATGATCAAACAGACTAGCTCCTCATCCCGTTGTCACTGCGGGACCTAGGCAGCATCATGGTGTGGAGGAGCAAGCCCAGCAATGACTGAAATGACATCCCCCGGCCCTACCCCTCCAGCAAGAAACCAAGTCCAAGGGTCATCTGGAGAAAGTATAGAGACAGGTGTCCTGCACACAGAGTTCTGTGGGCTGAAGTTGATGGGGACGCACACACTCAAGGTGGGACAGAGACCTTGCTAAATGGGATGGGAAGGAAAGAGAAAGGATTACCTTGGGGCATGTGGCTTATTACACCATGGAAATATAATTATTTTGGCCTAAGCTTATTAAATACTTTCAAGCTGGTTAACTTTTCTTTTTTTTTTTTTTTTTTTTTTTTTTTTGAGACAGAGTTCGCTTTGTTTGTCCAGGCTAGAGTGAGTGCCGGGCGTCAGCCTAGCTCACAGCAACCTCAAACTCCTGGGCTTGAGTGATCCTTCTGCCTCAGCCTCCCGAGTAGCTGGGACTACAGGCATGCGCCACCCATGCCGGCTAATTTTTTTTTTTTTCATATATATTCAGTTGGCCAATTAATCTTTTTCTATTTATAGTAGAGACGGGGTCTGCTCTTGCTCAGGCTGGTTTTGAACCTCCTGACGCTTCGAGCAGTCCGCCGCCTCGGCCTCCAAGAGCTAGGATTACAGGCGTGAGCCAGCAGCGCCGGCTTGCTTAACTTTTCTTAAAAGTGGGTCTTCGCGAGTACGGAAAATTAGGGAAAAACAGAGAAAAACAGAAGTTCAAGTAATGGTCAGATAAATCTCATTGTTAGGCTGAAGCAAACATCTTAGAGTTAAGCAAGTGGAGGTTTCCATGCTCAATGAAAAAGTGTGAAAACAGCATTTCAATAAACAACGCAACACCAGATTAACCAAAGGAAGATTCTACACGGCAGAATTTAATTTGGGGAATTATTGTTCTTCGCTTCTTGCCTTATCCTGACCACAGAGGATTTTTAAGTAAGAAGAAAGGTGATCAGCAGGACGGTAATGAAATAATTACACAGACTAATTTGCCACTCCATTATAATACCAAGCCACCCCTTAATAACATCCGATCACAGGTTGTTAATGCTGTAGTGTATTTTACAGGTTAAAATCATAGCCTGAAGGCAAACCCTCTGCATTTTGGGTTAAATTTAGTAGTCTAATTTTCTATTCTATCATCGAAGATAGCTGAGTTTGTCTATTTAAATAAGTTAAACAAATACACAGCAGAGCCCACACCACAAATTTCCCTGTCCCAAGAGATAAGTAAATTAAATTAGTATCCTTACTTTCTTCTGTGCAATTGAGCTGGAAAAGTGAGGCATTTTTCTCAGTGTGTATTGTCCAGCCTAGGGATTGCAAACTTAAACAACTTATGTATGTGCCAGGCAGGTTGGGTAGGGTTTGTTGCAGATACACCTACCCTGCCCATCTAGGTATGAAAACAGTGACTTCTTTAGCAGATGGTGGCCCTCTGAGGGGGTGATGCCAGCAGGCCAGGCTTCCCAGTTTTTAGAAGTGAGGCTGGCCATTTCGAATTTTCAAATGTGAAAAATTCTCAATATTTATTTTTTGTTTAGAGAAGAGTCTCATTGTGTTGCCCAGGTAGAGGTGCCTGTAGGCTTCAGCCTAAGCTCACAACAACCTCAAATTCCTGGGCTGCAAGAGATCGCTATGGCCTCAGCCTCCCAAGTAGCTGGGACTACAGGCATGCGCCCCATGCGGCTAATTTTTCTGATATATGTCTTAGTTGGCCAATTAATTGTTTTATTAGTAGAGATGGGGTCTTGCTCCTTGCTCAGCGCTGTCTGCGAACTCCTTGACCCTTGAGCGATCCAGACCCTGTCTCAACTCCACGAGTGCTGGGATTTGCAGCGTAAGGTAAAGCAATTCCGAGTTTTAAAATGTTTGGCAACCTACTTTTAAAAATGTTAAGAAGCATTCTGCTGGCCAACGAAACCAAGCACATCCTTCCAACAATTGTTCAGCCTGTAGTTTCTGCTGTGGATTATATTAATATAAAAAAAAAAAAACAAAGAAAAAAACTTGCCTCTGGAAAAAAGTTTTATTTACAAGTTGAGGAACAAAGGTATTTCTTTTCATTAAACATAGGTTTAGGCTGGATGCAGTGGCTTACTCGGTGGCTCAGTCTGAGGTGGGAGGATTGCGTGAGGCCAAGAGTTCAAGACTGTCCTGAGAAAGAGCAAGACCCAATCTCTACAAAAAATAAAAACATTTAGCCAGGGCCGGGTGAGTGGCTCACGCCTGTAATCCTAGCGCTCAAGGTTAGGAGTTTGAAACCAGCCTGAGCAAAGAGTGAGACTCCGTCTCTACTATAAGAGAGAAAGAAATTTTTTTTTTTTTTTTTTTTACACAGAGTCTGGCTTTGTTGCCCAGGCTAGAGTGAGTGCTGTGGCGTCAGCCTACCTCACAGCAACCTCAAACTCCTGGGCTCAAGCAATCCTACTGCCTTAACCTCCCGAGTAGTTGGGACTACAGGCATGCGCCACCATACCCAGCTGATTTTTTCTATATATATTAGTTGGCCAATTAATTTCTCTATTTATAGTAGAGATGGAGTCTTGCTCTTGCTCAGGCTGGTTTTGAACTCCTGACCTCGAGCAATCCGCCCCACCTCGGCCTCCCAGAGTGCTGGGATTACAGGAGTTAGCCACCACGCTTGGCCAATAGAAAGAAATTAATTGGCCAACTAATACATATAGAAAAAAATTAGCCAGACATGGTGGCGTGTGCCTGTTGTCCCAGCTACTCGGGAGGTTGAGGCAGTAGGATTGCTTGAGCCCAGGAGTTTGAGGTTGCAGTGAGCTAGGCTGACACCACGGCACTCACCTCTAGCCTGGGCAACAAAGTGAGACCCTGTCTCAAAAAAGAAAATTTTTTTTTTTTTTAGCCAGGATTAGCCTGGTGTACATTGGACTGGGGCAACAGAGCGAGACTCTTTCTCAACAGAGAGAAAGAAAAAGAAAGAAAGTTTAAGAAAAACATTCTTTATGCAGTACTATTAGTAAAAAATGAATTTCCTAAGAACAGCTCAATTATCTAGTGAAATATTAAGAGGTGAACTGTTACTTCTTTTGTTACAATATTAGCCTCTGTCATGGACCCTGCCAAATGTGGAAAGACATTACGAATTTCAAATCATTTATTAACAGTTATATTCTATTAGGATACTTATTCGTTTTATCTACTTCTAAATTTAGATATTGAATTAGTTGATTCATCTTTCTTTCAATTCTTAAATACTGTGAATTTCACTAATAATTTATAATAAATGTACTATGCAGCCCCTGGCATATTATCTAAGTCTTGTTAACTAAGGTAAAGACCTTTACAAAAGTGGTCATAGACAAAATGTAACAAATGGGCATCATCGTGTTACAAATAAAACTTAATTTACAACAATAGCAGCAAACTGGATTTGGCACTAGGTCTATAATTTGCTAATTAACTTGGGTTATAAAGTCTAGTAATACAACCTATTCAGGGCAGCTTCCTGAAAAGGTAGTGGTCCAAAGAGCACTAGAGTAGGAATCAGAAGATTAATTCAAGTAGTAGTTTTGTTATTTATTGTTAGAGCAAATTATTCAACTTCTCTTTGTTTTAGTTTTTTCATCTGTAAAATGTAAGTGGTTGTTCTAAAGAGCCTTATGGTCAACTTCCAAATTATATTAAAATTTGAGGCATTGTTAGTTCAGCAACCTTTTTTTTCTTGATTTTAATTTTTTTCTCCCCATCTTATTTAGGTGCCTTTTATCTTGTGTTTGAGTATATGGACCATGACTTAATGGGACTGCTAGAATCCGGTTTGGTGCACTTTTCTGAGGACCATATCAAGTCATTCATGAAACAACTAATGGAAGGATTGGATTACTGTCACAAAAAGAATTTCCTGCATCGGGATATTAAGTGTTCTAACATTTTGCTGAACAACAGGTAACATAGTAACCAAATGAGGTTAAGCACTTTCTCCTTCTCTGACCCTTTTAGATTCAGCTAGTTAATTGGTCATATAGTTAGACCCATTAGTGCAGTATTCTCACACACACAGCTTTCTTAGTGTTTAGTGGGTAGAAACATGCCTGCTCCTTTAGTTGCTCTTGAGCCTTTCTCAGTTACTGCCTTTCAAACACTGAAGTGTAGTTAGTGATTGGCCTTTCTGCCAATACTTAATCCTAGCTTTTAATAGCATAAATGAACAGGAATCTGGTGGTGAACAGGTATTAATTTTTCAGAAGGTTTTATCATCTGCTTCCTTCCTTTCTGCTTATTTGTCCACACTGCATTGGTAGTATCAGATGTATTATGCACACTAGTCTTTGGTAATAGCCCTACCAGTTTAGGGATAAAGAACAAGAATGGTACTGTTGAAATCAGGGCAGTGTTTTGTTCTTTATGTAATTAAGTTGTACATATCTATTTTTGTCTTATTCACCCATTGTTTTAAACATTTCTGTTCAGTTCTTTATGACAAACATTATCTAGATTGGGATATGGAATGATTTAAGACATATTTTCTTTCTTTATGGGGTGGAATAAGCAGTTATGTATGGTTGCCTAGAACTGACTCTCCTGGTTTTAGCATTAAAAGTCTCACATAGTACATTCTGGAACTGGGGGGAAAAAATGAAAAGGAAAAAAAAGAAAAAAGTCTGACATGGGATGATCCATCACTGTGGAGCTCAGTTTAATAGGGGAGTTAAACAAATTACTCAATTTGTTAAGCATTTATTAAGCCCTTTTTTATTCCTTAAATTTTGGAGCACCTGGAAAGATGCAGTTTTGAGTTATGAATAGAAATTTATCAGAAAGACTGACAATGAGGAATCAAATTTCTAGGCAGAAGAAACTGCATGCACAAAAGCATATAAACATGAAATGACATGTCTGGAAAACTGTAAACAGGTCAGTGTTGCTAGAGCAAGAAAAGTGAAGCACATAATGGCAAAAGATGAACCTGTATAGTTACGAGGAGCCCATTGGGATCCTATATACCCCACTGAGGAACTTAAGTTTTATCAGTAGTTGACAGGGAGCCATTGAAGGGTGCTGGTTCATTTATTGTTTTTTAAATTATACAAGTAATACATTATTTTAAATTGTACTTAAATACCTTTATTATGAGACAAAACATGGTGTTAAAAGATTATTCCTTTTTATTGTTGTCTCTGTGACTCGCAATACCCATTAAAGTTGGAGGTTGGTGACTGTACGTCCATAGTAAATAATGTATCAACAACTTAATGATGATGGCTATCAGCTTCCAGCTTTCTGGCCTATAGTATTAATATACTTTCTGTTGTTGCTTTTTTCCTCCATGGGGGGATGTCTCAGGACAGGGAATAATTATAGTTCTGCTTGGTGTCCTATCTGGTAGATCAGGTCCCTCCTGGTCTCTGACTTCCTAGAGTCAGGAAGCTGATGAGGTTTCAGACCAAATTGAACTCCTTTCTCAGGTTGATAAGCAAAATACAGGAATTCCATGGTCTAGCCTAATCCATCCAGCTTCTGCCCTTGCCTACCTCTGTCTACTCAGAGAACTCTGAGTGAGATTGAACTCTGAGTGAGAACTCTGGGTGAGATTGCCTGGAGAAAATGGTGAAGGGTTGTCAGCTGGGCAAGAAAGAGAGAGCAGTGATGAAAGAGAAGAGCGCAGGGTTGGACTTCATGATGATCATTATATTTTAATTACTTAAGTATAAATGAAACCAAATCATTTTGGGTAGAGGAGAGACATAATTAGTCTTCTGTTTTAGAAAAGTCACTAAATTATCACTATATGGTGAGAGCCTGGAGGCAGGGAGATATACTAAGACTATCATAAGAAATGGGTAGTGTGTGAACTAACCCAAGTATTGTTAGTAGGGATGAGCAGGATGGACATGATATTAATAGATCAGTAGATTTTGGTTAGTGAGTGAGTGGTGGGGAATGAATAAGAGAAAGTAAGTTAAAGATTTCTGACTTAAGAAACTAGCTAGCTAGCTACCAGTCAATATTAAGAATACAAAAGGAAAAGCAGCATGGTCATGATATAGGTAAATCCCTTTTGGATATGAGTGTTGCATATCCAGGGTAGTGATATCTAAAAGGCATATGGGCCGGGCGCAGTGGCTCACGCCTGTAATCCTAGCACTCTGGGAGGCCGAGGCGGGCGGATTGCTCGAGGTCAGGAGTTTGAAACCAGCCTGAGCAAGAGTGAGACCCCTGTCTCTACTATAAATAGAAAGAAATGAATTGGCCAACTAATATATATAGAAAAAAATTAGCCGGGCATGGCGGCGCATGCCTGTAGTCCCAGATACTCGGGTGGCTGAGGCAGCAGGATTGCTGGAGCCAAGGAGTTTGAGGTTGCTATAAGCTGGGCTGATGCTACGACACTCACTCTAGCCTGTGCAACAAAGCGAGACTCTGTCACAAAAAACCAACAAAAAAACAAATAAAAGGCATATGGTCATGGGGGAATTCCAAACTGGCAGTGATATAAGAACTAAGAAGAGAATCTGAAAATTAAAAGGTCAGTGATGACTTTAGTGTGGAGTAAGGGGATGGGTAGCAAAATTAACGGGAAGTTAGTGGTAGCCATATCTTTAATTTTTTATTTTATATGGGTGGCAGAGATCTGAATATATTTAAATGCTAAGGGAAAAGAAAATCAGTTGAAAGAGAGAAGTTGAAGATTCAGAAAAGAGCCAGAGTAATTTAAAGGAACACGGTTCTAGAGGAGGCTGGGCATAGTGGCTCATGCCTGTTATCCTAGCACTCTGGTAGACCAAGGTAGGAGAATTGCTTGAGGACAGGAGTTCGAGACCAGCCTGAGCAAGAGTGCGACCCTGTCTGTACTTAAAATAGAAAAAATTAGCTGGGCACAGTGGCGTGCGCCTATAGTTACAGCTACTCAGGGAGCTGAGGTGGGAGGATCACTTAACTCCAGAAATAGAAGTTGTCTCAAAAAAGAGAGAGAAAAGATTCTAGAGGAGATGAAATCAAGGCCACAGGTGGAGGTATTGATTATTCAAGAAAAGAGTCAAATTATCAAGGGTAGAGAATTTGACTGCAAAACATGTAGGGCCAACCTTTCATATATGCAGATTCCAGTCCTACTGTGGGACTTGAGTATGTGTGAATGTTGGTATACATGGGAGTCTTGGCCCCAATCCTGTATGTATGCTACAGGATGACTGTAAATGAAGGGAGAGAGGCAAGTAAGTTTATAGGTAAAAGATAAGATGTTAAGGAGCTCTGACCTGATGACTTTTCTTTCTTCACTGAAGAAGGTCAATTACTGTGTATGAGAGGGTAGAGGATAGATTAGGGCATTAAGGAGAATACCAGAGGTTTGTAATAATAGACAAGCAGAACAGAAGTTGTTGACTAAAGACAACAAAAAGTACTAACCAGCAGCATTCAAAGTTTAACTGAGAGAGGAAACCACACATTTGCAGTGGCACCAAACAGTATGATTGTAAGATTTTTGTTCCTTAAGCTTGTGTTCAACTAAGTAGAGCAGAAAAGGCAAATTTTCTGTTGATCCAGAATTAGGAAATTGTGGATTAAATATATCCAAAGGTCACAGATAAAGGGGACTATGAAGACAGTAGTTTGGTTAATTGACTAAGGGTCCAGGCTAGATATGGAAGGAAGTATAATGTTGAGGGAGGACTAAACTGGGAGGGAATGGAGGCATCAAGTACTTGAAGATCTTGTCAAAAGGCATTTAAACCCATGATCTCAGAAAGGATTCCCTACCTATCCCCATATTCATCTTATTCCTGTGAGATAGAACAAAATAAAAAATTTTTCTATTCTATTTTATATTGCCAAAATTTACCAGTACTTCCACACTTCATTCTGTATCACTATGATGGCTTAGAAGAAAAAGCAGTAGTTATTAAAAGTGCTATCAGGATGTTCTTTGGCAGATTAATTTCATTCTAGAAACATTTATTTAGTACCTAGTATGAACCTGGCAAGAAGTATGCTATGTGCTGGTGTTATTTAGTTCTAGCCTAAATTCTATAATATAACTATGTATCTGTTGCCATTTTAACTTTTGTTCTCAGAGTAAGGATACCAATAAATTTGAGCCTACCTTCTTTGTTTCCGTATAATTAAAGTTAACTATTCCTTTACCTTTTTGCCTTTCTGAGAATTTTCTTATAAATTGAACATAAAAGTATAATGATGTTTGGGGCAAGTGGGTAAGGTGCCCATATCTTTACTAGGAATGGTAAGTGTTAATTTAATCTAGAGTTTTGTTGCTAATGGTTACCTTGTTTTAATATTCTGTCCCATTGCTGATACTTTGGGGAGCACCTCTTAGCATAACCTTTTTACAGATTGAGTATCCCTTATGCTTGGAACCAGAAGTCTTTCAGATTTCAGATTTTGAAATATTTTCAATATAATTACTGGTTGAGCATCCCATATCTGAAAACTGAAATCTGAAATGCTCCAGTGAACATTTCCTTTGAGTATCATGTTGGCATCCTAAGAAATTTCAGATTTTGCTTGAGACAGAGGGAGCAAAAAAAAGGTGGGAGTTTGGATTGGATTTTCAGGCACCTAAAATATCACCAGTCCCCTACAAAAGAGTTAGCTGACTTTTCATTCCCCAAGAGATAGCAAGGCCATAAATGTGATTAAACAGACTATATGAATTTAGATAAATATGATTAATCCAAAATAGTTAACAAATGATTTTAAAATACTTTCCCAAAATTTTGTGGTACAGTTTCTTAAAATATTCTACCCATCCCTGTGAAAGATAGAATACTGAGCAGAGTGAAATGTGGTTGGGATCCTTTTAAGGATGATTCTCAAAGTATGGTCCTCAGACCAGCTGCATTGGCATCACGTGTGAGCTTGTTAAAAATGCACATTCGTGAGTCATGACATACTGAGTCAGCATCTCTCAGAATGAGGCCCAGGAAACTGTTTTAACAAGCTTTCCAGGTGAAAGTTTGAGAACCCCTTTAAGGTGATGGTCTATGTCTTTGTGGCATAGGAGGTAATGGCAGTATGTTAGTAGAAGGAACCTCATTCATCATAAAAATTGTTTGCTCAGATCACAGCTGTAATCCTTGTTTGAAAATATCTGTTATAGCCACGGCAGTGTTGTGGTTTGCTTTTCATTATGAAAATTGTCAAATTTATAAGAAAATTGAGACATGAATATAGTTTATAATTTATAAATACATATACAATTAACATTTTATATTTCTACTTGTGTTGGTTTTTTTTAAATTTTGGCTCCTCATCAGTCAACTGAAAATTTGAGTTATTTTAATGTAAATTGCAGACATCATTACATTTGACCCTAAAATACTCTGACAAAATTTATTATTCCCTAGTATTTTTTTTTTTTTTTTTTTTTGAGACAGAGTCTCGCTTTGTTGTCCAGGCTAGAGTGAGTGCCGTGGCGTCAGCCTAGCTCACAGCAACCTCAAACTCCTGGGCTTGAGTGATCCTTCTGCCTCAGCCTCCCGAGTAGCTGGGACTACAGGCATGCGCCACCATGCCCGGCTAATTTTTTTTTTTTTTTTATATATATATCAGTTGGCCAATTAATTTCTTTCTATTTATAGTAGAGACGGGGTCTCGCTCTTGCTCAGGCTGGTTTTGAACTCCTGACCTTGAGCAATCCGCCCGCCTCGGCCTCCCAAGAGCTAGGATTACAGGCGTGAGCCACAGCGCCCAGCCTCCTAGTATTTTTTAATATCCAGTCCATTTTTATATTTTTTCAGTTATCTCAACAATGTCTTTTGCAACTAGTTTGTTCAAATCACAGTCACTCAAGGTCTATGAATTGCATTTGTTCATTAGTCCTGTTAAATCTCTCTTAATCTAAAACAGTCCAGTCTTTTTTCCCCAACAACAAGTATTTAATCTAGCAGGTTTTAGGTACTGTTATTTATCAAGAATAAAAGAAGTATTTAGTTAAGGAGTCAAATCCAAAAATGCAGTAGTACTCTTAAAAAAAAAAAAAAGCCTAAGGAATTATAAACTGAAGGTAGTCAAAAGAGGCTTAATCAGGAGGAATGACCGTTAAGAGTAGAAATAAGACAGCAGAAGTGGCCGGGCGCGGTGGCTCACGCCTGTAATCCTAGCACTCTGGGAGGCCGAGGCAGGTGGATCGCTCAAGGTCAGGAGTTTGAAACCAGCCTGAGCAAGAGCCAGACCCCCGTCTCTACTAAAAATAGAAAGAAATTAATGGGCCAACTAAAAATATATAGCAAAAAATGAGCCGGGCACGGTGGCGCATGCCTGTAGTCCCAGCTACTCGGGAGGCTGAGGCAGTAGGATTGCTTGAGCCCAGGAGTTTGAGGTTGCTGTGAGCTAGGCTGACGCCATGGCACTCACTCTAGCCTGTGCAACAAAGCGAGACTCTGTCTCAAAAAATAAATAAATAAATAAAATTTAAAAAGAGAGAGAAAGTTAAAACTTATTTTTCTAATTTTTTAAACAACTGAATTGGCCCTTAACTTTTCAGGTATAGTTTGGAGGCTACTACTGTTGCTTACGAAAATAAATTTTTTTTGTTTTACAGTGGGCAAATCAAACTAGCAGATTTTGGACTTGCTCGGCTCTATAACTCTGAAGAGAGGTGAGATATTCATCAAAATTACATGTGGGAAATAAGAAATAATCCTTTTTATTCTTGGATATTCTAGTATTCTACAAGTTGCAATAATTGTCAGAATTCCCTGATTATCTGAATGTATCACCACCTAGATTGTAGACTATAAATTCTTTTTTTTTTTTTTTCCTACTAATCTTTACTAAAAGGAATATAAATTCTATCTAAATTTTTTAATTGTCCCCTTGGCTGAAATAAATCAACCCAAATTGGAATGGAAGTTATTTCTTCATCTCCTACTTATGTACAGTTTACTTTTGGATTAGTAGATTGCTGTGGAACTGTTTTAACAATCTCCTATTTAATTGGCAGATATTTCTATTTGCATTTATTTATATGAGTATTTTTCATCAGAAGCCATTGTGAATTTGTGTCATGGTTATTTTTTACATTTCAGTCGTCCTTACACAAACAAAGTCATTACCCTGTGGTATCGACCTCCAGAACTACTTCTGGGAGAAGAGCGTTACACACCAGCCATAGATGTTTGGAGCTGTGGGTAAGCTTCTCTGAAGTTTTTCTTTTGTCTGAAACACACGCATTGTTTTTTGTTTTTTGTTTTTTTTGAGATAGAGTTTCACTCTGTTGCCCGGGCTACAGTGCCGTGGCATCAGCCTAACTCACAGCAACCTCAAAATCCTGGGTTCAAGCAATCCTCCTGCCTCAGCCTCCCGAGTAGCTGGGACTACAGGGATGCACCACCATTCCCAGCTAATTTTTTCTATAAATGTTTAGTTGGCCAATAATTTCTATTTCTTCAGTAGAGAGAGGGTCTCGCTCTTGCTCAGGCTGGTTTTGAACTCTTGACATTGAGCCATCCACCCGCCTCGGCCTCCCAGAGTGCTAGGATTGCAGGCATGAGCCACCGCGCCTGGCCTTGAATTAAATTTTGATATTAGCCGGGCTAGAGTGCTATGGCGTCAGCATAGCTCACAGCAACCTCAAACTCCTGGGCTCAAGCAATCCTTCTGCCTCAGCCTCCCGAGTAGCTGGGACTACAGGCATGTGCCACCATACCCAACTACTTTTTTCTACATATTTTTAGTTGTCCAGCTAATTTTTTCTGTTTTTAATAGAGACGGGATCTCACTCTTGCTCAGGCTGGTCTCGAACCCCTGACCTCAAGTGATCCTCCTACCATAGCCTACCAGAGTGCTAGGATTACAAGTGTGAGCCACCACACCCAGCCCCAGCTTATTTCTTTTATTTTCTGTAAATTTTAGGTGGATTCAAGGTTGATTTCCAACCATCCACCAACTCTGAAATTACTTTACAGGTGGTTTTGAGTACTTATAACAGAATTGATGTAATCAGTGGTTTATCGGAGTTGAGGGTAGAGAGCAGTGGAAGCATCTGCCTAGAGTATAGGCAATGAGTAAGTGTGTTATCTCTGGAAAATTTAAACACAACAAAAAAATCCAGTACAAATAAATCAGCTTTTTATTACGGCCTTGTGGGGACAGTTCTAAACAAGGGCAGATTTACACACACAGACCATTTTTCGTAACATGCAACCGTCTTTTTTTGAGATGTTATTAGTTATTGATGATCATTGCCCACATCCATTAATTTTACTTGTGGTTGTTAAGATAACTTCTTTACAGTGACTAGGTGCAGTAACGCATGCTTCTAATCCCAGTGCTTTGAGAGGCTGAGGCAGGAGGATTGCTTGAGGCCAGGAGTTTCAGTCCAGCTTGGGCAACATAGTGAGACCTCATCTCTAAAGAAAATTTTTTTTAATTAGCCAGACATGGTGGTGTGCACCAAGGCTGTAGTGAGCTGTGATTGCACTATTGCACTCCAGCCTGGGTAACAGAGCAAGGACCCTTTCTCTGAGGAAAAAACAAAGATAGCTTCTCATCTATTTGGCTAGCCTCAGATATAAATCATATAGAAAAGGTAGGATGATGGTTAATTCTTTCATTTGCTAGTTTTTAAAATAATGAGGGAGTTTCCTAGTATCCTCCAAAGATGACCAATGAGACGTTTTTGGGTTTTTTTTTAATTGCGTTATGAACTCATACATTTAAACATACTTGATGTGTTTTAATCTATTGTGGTTATTGTCCTCATTCCTGTTCAAACTGTCCAGTCTTTGGCCAGTTGGAGCCTTTTCAGGTTATTACTTGAGTCCTTTTGACACGACATAGTAGTCTTTGATATTAATATCCATCTTTGTTTTCTTGTTTCAAGCTCATCCTGTTGATTTCCCTCCTCATATGTGGAATCAGCCATTTCTCTAAGGAATCTTAGTTCTTTTTAGTGAAAAATCATATTTAGAGACTACAATTAGTGTGTTAGGGGCATAGATGTTTTAAATAGGTCATGTTAGTTTATGTCTTATGTTGTATGATTTATGCCCACATACACGTTGTCCTTGACCTCCATACTTTATGATTCCGACATTTATCCTTCCCAGTAGAGCATATCACTTTTTTCCTTTCTTCCCTTTTGTCTATTAATGTCAGTCTTTAAGAAGAGCACTACAGGGGTTTTATTTCAAAATTTAACAGGGTGATGGAGAAAGTATAATTTCTGTGGTAGCCTACCCAAATCAAATGAAGCTTTAGTTAAATTTTACTGATTCAAGCTGGGTGTGTTTTTGTTCTGGACTATTTGCTTTAACAGTATTAGCATTTAAATTGTCACAACTAGGCTCTAAAGTTAACACCCCATTAAGATGCATGTGGAAAGTTCATAGCTCTGTTGGTACTATTATTTCAGTCTGTGCAACCTGCCACCTCAGTGCAGTAGCAAAGTGTTAGTAACATAATGACGATGTCTTCCCCACCTAAGGACTGGAAACTAAAATCAAAGAAAACAGAAAAACACAATTGGTAATTAAAACTATAGAAACACAGACCTTCTTTAAAGCCCAGCGACATTAAGTTGAGATTTTGCTTGACTTTTTTTTTTTTTGAGATAGAGTCTCACTTTGTTGCCCAGGCTGGAGTGAGTGCCGTGGCATCAGCCTAGCTCACAGCAACCTCAAACTCCTGGGCTCAAGCAATCCTTCTGCCTCAGCCTCCCAGGTAGCTGGGACTACAGGCATGCGCCACCACACCCAGCTAGTTTTTTCTATATGTATTAGTTGGCCAATTAATTTCTTTCTATTTATAGTAGAGACTGGGTCTTACTCTTGCTCAGGCTGGTTTCCAACTTCTGACCTCGAGCAATCCTCCCACCTCGGCCTCCCAGAGTGTTAGGATTACAGGCGTGAGCCACTGCTCCTGGCCTTTGCTTGACTTTTGAAATCAGCTTACTACTTTGATGATCCATGGTAGTCTCTCCAAAGATAATTCTTTGGAATATTCTTTATAGAGAATTGGTATAGCAATTTAGTGTACTAATCAGGGGAGAAACTAGAAAGAATAGTACAACAAATTATGCCTAGAGTCTGAAAACCTCATAGTTTTTTGTTTCTGTTTTTTTCCTTTTTCTTTTTTTCTTTTTTTTGGAGGCAGGGTCTCACTGTGTCAGTTGAGCTAGAGTATAGTGGTATGA